CCGAAGCTTGTCCCAGAGCCACCAGCTGCTGCTGGCCACTGTTTTCTGCTTGTTGCCAACGAGGTTGACTGTGCCAGTTCACCTGTTGCAGTGGAGCAGTGGGGTTGTCCGTGTTGTGTGTAAGAAAGGAAGAGCAAGGGAAAACTGTCAGTGTTTCGGATTGAGCCTTTCTTGGCTTCTGCTCGGGGTGGCTTTGTTATGAGATGATCTCTGAAGCATTTTTCTCGTTCTGGCTGCATTCTCCCAAGTTAGTGCTGTACTGGGAAATTTTCTGGCTGTTGTGTGGTTATGACATGGAATTTTGCTCTGTACGTAGCAGAAATTGTTGAAGATGTTACTGGATGGCAAAAAGCGGATACATCCTCCTGTGAGTGTTGCCACCTTTTAGTGATCTGTTTGTTTGCTGCACTGTAAAATAATGTGACTTGAAGAAGCTTTGCTTTAAGTAGGAGACATATAGGGATCTCAGTGTAGTAATTACACCTACAGTGAGCAAAGGTAGTAAGGAAAGGTAAAGAGTAACTGCTACTGTGTGTACTTGCGAACTAAAGTGAATGATCTGCCAAGCAAAACTGGGAGGATAAGGCTGCTTGGAAAAGCTGGCAGATGCATTTATCACTCCACATCTGTCCACCTGTGCTCCAGCCACATAGCTAGCTTAGCACAACACACTGAGGATGCTAGAGACAAAAATAAATCCTTCAGGCTGGACCAGCTCAAGGGGCAGTTGTAACTCATCCTTCAAGTGCAGCCCTGCCCTGGCACCGCAGGGTGTGCCCATCCTCTCAGCTTTCCCTGCTGCCGCACAGGGTTCCTTCTCCGCAGCTCTCTGCAGTGACCCCCTCTGCAGCTCTGGCACAGGGTCGCTTTGATCAGAGCACCACTTCCCAGGCCAGTGGTCTTCAGTCAGTCTGAAAGCTTTAGAAAAATGCTTTTGTAGTGGCTCCTTTCCGTGACCACAGGCAGCACCTAAAAGGGAGGGGAAGAAACAGGAGGCATCAGAGCAGAGGTCAGAGTTCCCAATTCATCCCCTTCAGGGGTTTCAGCACCACCCGGTGACTAAAGCAATGAGGGAGGTGGGAGGGAAGTGTTCAATTTGAGCAGACTGAAACAACAATAATGAACTCCACATGCATGTCCTCGCTGCTGGCGTGTCCCACCAGCCACAGGCCCTTCCCTTCTCCATTCACCTGCTCGGTGCTGCACATGCTCGGTGCAGCTGTGATGTCAAGGGGGTTTTGGTCAGGAATTCTGGAAAAATGCCTCTTGGGATACTCCAAGAGATTTCCACGTGCTGTGATGGTAAAGGGACATTTGCTTGATGAAAGACCAAGGGTAAACATTAATACAATCATCTAGTCAATTAGTTCAGTCAGTTCTCTGCTGGTTTTCATTTGATATCGTAGAAGGCTTTCAGGAAAGGGAGTTCATTGACTTTAAAATGTGACAGTCTTAAAATGTCGATAAGCGTTAAGCTTTCTGCTGTAATGCTGCCCTAAAGACGCTTGCAGTGGTTTTGGCACAGCTTGTGGGAAGGCTGTAAACCTTTTCATGGAGTTTCCTTTGCTTTATTCAGGGCTTTTTGGCAGAAGACAGCATTTCTAACTGTGGGGGGCTTTTCAGTCCGCAATAATGTGATGCGCAGTGATGCTGAGGTGTGCTGAAAGGGACTTGTCATGGAGGTTTGCTTCCCTTGTCCTGCTCGAGACCAGCATGGGCAATCCTACTTAATGATAATGTTTGAAGATGAGGCAAAAGAGAGATTATAGGTTAATTTTTTGTACGGGCTTTACTGAAGATGCTTGTAGCTATCTGTTTTCCAAGAGAGACAGCTCTGCAAAGGCATAGCCAATGTGCTCATGCTCCCCATCCCTCCCAGCTGCCTGGGGGCTGTTCAGAGACCTGCCAAAGCCGGCAGGGATTGTACGCTGTTCTGAGAGAGGCAGGGTTGTAGATTATTATTTCAGGAGATTAGCAGCATAACAATAAGGGAAGTTGCTAGCATTAATTGAAGCAGTTACAGACCTCAGAATTTACGAACATGCAGCAAACCTCACCGATTTCAAAGCAGTGCTGCTTTTGCTTTCAGCAGAAGCCTGTCTTCACCCAGACTCTGCTGCTGCTGCAAAACATTTTGTTTGCACGTTGATCTGCACGTTGATCTACACTTGCCTGAGCAGTGTTGGGGCTAATCACAGCTCTTGTCCTCTCGCTCTTCCAGGTGTTGGTAACAGATGAAGTCTAGAGCTGCTTCACACCTGAATGTCTCTGAATTAAGTGTCTTTCTCTTCTGATACCCTGCAGTAGTCAGTGACCATTTGGCCTGGTGCTTTTATCCTGTGCCTCATCTCTTGTGGGTGATGCTGCGTGGCACAGGGAAACTGGCTCGGCCCAGGTGACAGTGGGTGCTGTACCTCTCTGTACGTGCCTGTTCTGTGTTTATTATGTACACGATAGCACTGGACTTCAGTGCCTCAACTGCAGCTGAAAACATGGTTTTTAGAACAGGTTGCTGTTGCCTGGTGAGATAGCACCTGCTCAGTTCTCTGTGAGCAGTTACTTGATCTGCAAGGACAGCCCCAGTAACAGCTTGTAAGCATGCACTTTCTTTGTCCGAAATACTACTTTTTGCCCTCCATTTCCTGCGCTTTTTACCTCATCCCCAGCAGCCCTGGCTGCCCCATGCTCCCTGTGGTTTTCCGATAAATGAGGTAAGGTTGGGTCACGGCAGGGCCAGATAAACCGGGACAAAGCCATCTGCTTTCCCCCAGGCCAGCAGTGCCAGCGGGGTGCCAGGCTAGCCTTTATGCTCAGGGCAAAGCTCCCACTGACTTGAGCTGGGAACAGGATCAGGCCTCGAAGGTCTCTGGAAGCTGCCCTCCATTCAAACCTCCTCCTTATCTCTCTTTCTCTCCCTTTGCAGTTTGCTCTGATAGTGGCAGTTTTATGTTCTCTAAGCTGCCTTGCAACTTCTCACATTGCTGAAGTTCTTTCTTTGGTGTACCTTAGTGATGTCCATGCCTCTCCTGCTCTGGCAACCTGCTGTCTCCCCTAAGCCTGCAGCTCACAATTGCTTTGTAATTAAAATCCTCTGCTGATGTCAGAACTTCTCTCTTCCCTGTAGAGACCTGACGCACTGTGCAGGAGCTGCTCTAAAATACAAATAGCTGGAAATTATTCTCTTTGGGGTTAGGTCTGGCTCTAATGAAACAGCTAATGAGCAGGTGCATCAGAGGGGCTAAGCCACTTTTAACAGCAAACTTAGTTCAGCTGTTGATGTGTTACCAGCTCACTGGCAACTAATTCATGCGGGCTGCACAGCAGTGGGGAGGGATAACAGCAGCATTACAAATGGGGAGCAGCTGATCCTAACTTTTAGTCCTCTCCTACTAAGCTTGAATTGATTGTCACCCATCAGTGTGAACTTTGGGTTCAAAATGGGTTTTGCATCTGTGGCGAGAATTTAAAGTATGAAAAGACTTTATTTTTCTGTTATTCATCCTCATTTTGTAACCTTGCCTCGCTTCTCCCCCCCACCTTGGTGTTGTGTATTCCATGGCAGAAATTTCCACACAACCTGTTGCACCGGTTCCCGTTAAAGGTTTGAGCTGAAGAGTTGGGTCAGTTTTATCTGGTCTGTTCTCCCTCCTCGTTCAATGCATGTTGAAACGAGCCTTGTCCTGACCTCTCTGTACAGTGGGAGCTCCCTGCGTGAGCGTTGGAGTTACCTGGATGGTTTCAGCCGCCCTTTTCTTTGGCCTTGTGCTTGCCCATCTGCTATTTTCATATCTCTAGAGGAGTTAATTAAAATGTGTTCTTATTCAGAACAATTTGTGTTGCCTAATTGCCTCCAAATAACATAGCACATGGCTGTGGGGAAGAATGCTGAGAAATCTGTTTCCTTTGCGCTGAGATTCCTCCAGAGTTTGGGGCATCTGGAAAATCACACGCTCTGCAGTGGCTCTGTCTTGTCTCAGCCCTTGTAGGGCTGCAGATGCAGTAAGCAGGAAGGAGATTGCCTGCCTTGAGATCATGTACCTGATAGAATATTAAAGCTGGCTGCAGCTTGCTTGCCTGGGGATAACTGCGCCTTTAAAAGGCAAACTGCCTGTAACAGAGTTCCCTTCTAGGCTGTTTGTAGCAGCAATTCAAGTGACAGAACAGTGGCTCCACAAAACAAATAACTTTCAAATTTTCAGGTCTATTTACAGATTTCCTTAGGAGTGGGTCAGATTCATTAGTGCATTAAATAGGAAAAGAAAGAATTGCCCCTAACAGCTCAGGTCTTTGTCTGATCCTGCTTAGGAGGTGCTGTTAGAGCTGCAGAGCTGTTTTCTCTGGCGGCGTGTCCATGGAGCTGACAAAGCCACCCGCGCCACAAAAGCGAGGCAGAAAAGTGCTTGCAGCTAGGTCCCTGGCCGGGACATTGCCAGCAAGAGGAACTTGGCTGCTAGACTATTAAGCTTGAAAATGTAGCTGAAAGGACTATACTTGTGAAATGAATGGGTTGACAAGAAACAGATTGCAGGGAGTTGGGCAGAGCTGCCAGTCTGGGCCCATAGGAATGACTGAATGGTCTGGGTCAGGATCTCTGGGTGTCAACAGGGGGGTGAGTGGCAGCCTCAGCGGAGGAACTGGTGGCCCCGGAGCCTGAGCTACTGCTCTCCGTTGCCATGTGGCTTCACCCTCTGCATGCTCTTCTGCATCTGCAACCTGTTCTTTTTGTCTGAGTCCCTTTCCTAATGCTCAGTGCATATCTGAAATACAGAAGGGATGCTGCTTGGAGCAGCACGAATTCTACACTTGGTGATTGTTGTGGTTTTTGAGTGTTTTCTTGTTCTTTTTTCTGTCCATGCTCTGAATTGGTGCCAACAAAAAATATATTGATTTGCATTAGCAGGCTTACACCCTGTATTTTCTGAATTGCTGTGATACCTGTCTGCTTTGCGCCACATTTTTCTGACTAGTTAAATGCTTTTTTTTTTTGTGCTTTCCAACAGGGCCAGTACTGTGACATCTGCTCTTCTGCAAACAGCAACAAGGCTCACCCCATAACAAATGCCATTGATGGGACAGAGCGCTGGTGGCAGAGCCCCCCTCTTTCCCGGGGGCTGGAGTTCAACCAGGTCAACGTCACTTTGGACCTTGGACAGGTAACCTGAGTCCTCCTTGGTTATGTTGTAGGACATGCTCCTCTCCTTCTAAAATCCTTTGGTGGCCTTTGCTGGAAGGGTGGGACAAAATCCACTCATTTAATGGCAGGACAGGAGGCTCTGCTTAAAATATGAAAGGGAAAACCTCTTGTCTGTCTGTGTGTAGTATTAACTGCAGTCTGTGCTATTTGCTGTTCCTATTTAGGTTCTCCCTAACAGTTGAGTTGCTCTTGGAAACCTTCTGCACTGTGCAGGTGCCATTCCCCTCAAGAGGGTACCTGGCTCCCAAAGGGGGATGGTTAGCAAGGCTTCACACCAGAACACAAAAATACAGCCCTGAGGAATTTAAGGTTGGGCTGTAAAACGAGCTGTTGCGTTTTAAATTCTTTAAAAACAGCAAGTCCGTGCTGAAGATCTTCCTATAAAAGACAAAGAATGATAATGGATGTTTGGTCTCTAATGCTGGCAAGTCAAAGGGAATTTACATTGTAATAGCAGGGCTGCCAGCCCCTGCCACCTCCTTTGCTGCTCCTATTCATCTGCAAAACTATCACTCTGGAAATAGGTTATTCTCTCAGACTTTCCTCAGCTTAGAGGAAAGCAGCAGATATGATGCCCTGGCTGAAGCTGCAGAGGCAGGAAGGTACCACAAGCCAGAGACCTGAAGGGCTGCGGGCTGTGGCTCTGCTCTGGCTGTTGGATGGGGGAACTCCTCGGTGCTAGGTCTGGGGCAGGGGGTGCGTGAGATGCCCCTTCCTCACAGTCTGTTAGCCCTTGTAATTCAGGATTTGGGGCATTTGCCCTGTAGTCTATCACAGTTTAGTAGTTGGCTTTCACCTCCTCTGCTACGTTTCCCCAAGCTCTGCTACCAGCCCCGCAGCACCAGAGGCCAGGTTTGGGTCCTCTGTAGCAGGAAGATCGGTGGGATGGGGCGGTTGTGGGCTGTGGGCAGCTCACCTCTTGCTTAGAAAACCTGTCAGTGATTGCTCAGGCAGCCTCTCAGGGACTGGGTGCACTGCACCTTTATTTGGGAGCTTCCGTGGATTGCAGTGATTTCAAGCCTTATTGGGCACTGAAGCTTTGCTTTGACCTTGCAGGTGGCTTTTTCACCCTCTCTGGTGGGTGAAAGGTTCATTTGTCACTGCTGTTTGTAAGGTGTCTGGCTCCAGATTTACAGCTATGGGTACCTGGGATGTATTGATGACGATACTTTTCTGTTGGATGCCTCAAACACACACTTTAGTCCCCAGGCTTGTCTCTGCTCTGCTCCCTACCCTGCTGCAGCGCTCACTTGGAGCCTTTCAAATACCATCCACAAATTTGTTCTCTCCCATGAGCGCCAGCTATCTAAAGCTGTGCTATACTCAGCACCAGCAAAATATCCCCTAACGCCTGGGGCACATCATGCATCGCATAATAGCTGTGTGGGCAAAGCCTCCCGGGGCCGCACACAGTGTGCCGATCCCGTTAGCCAACGTAGGTGGCATCTGCTGTGTCTCCAAGAAACTTCCCAGCTGGCAGGGGTGTGCTGGGTGGGTGGATGGCTTGCACTCCCTCCCCCTCCGACCAAGGGCAAGCCTGCAATGCAGCTTTCTGACCTTTGGAAGGGATTTCTCAAAGACGGACTTTCCTTGAGAGCTTCTCCTCCTCTCTGGCATTCTCTGTGGCAGCTTTCTGGCTTCAGGCCCCAGCTGTGCTGCCCCAGCTGTGCTGTGAGCTTGCAAGCTGCTGCAGTTTGGATCACCTGGGGATTCGCAGCCCTCAGAGCTGCAGTGCTGTGAGCCGGAGCCTGGAATAATGTGGCGAGGCTGCGGTACTGCTAAAATTCAGCTGATGTAAGCTTACCTTCTCTCTCCTGCCCTCCTCTCCCAAACCTCGGTATTTGCTTTTGCTACCCTGGGCAGCAGCATCGCTTCTGCGGGGTTGGTAGCAGAACTTGCACACGTGGTGCTGGTTGTAGTTGTTTCACCTGGGCAGGGGTTTCTCTGGGCTCACGGATCCTCTGCTTCTCTGCCACCTTTGCAAAGTTAAGCTGTGGCCCGGCTGGTCTCAACAGGAGCACAAACCTTCAGCTTCAGCCCGGTTTTAGTGGTTTCCTCTTTATACATGCCCTTATTGTAAGTAACTGCTTTAGTAACCTGTTTATGCTCCTGGTGAGAGCCAGTTCTTTGCTTTTCCCTCCTTTGTTTTGGTAGGTCGGGCAATAGGAACAAGATGAAATGTTACAGAATCACTGATTTCCTCCTTTTGAAGTTGAGGCTGGTTGAAAGGATGGAAGATAAAAAAGATGAATTCTTGAGACCCAGTGGGGTCTGCAGGGGCGGTGCTGGATCAGGCTGTCATACCTGGCAGCCAGGCTTTGCAAATTCCTCGGATACCTGCGAAACGGCGCAGGTAACACCCTCAGAGGCATGTCTGAGAGCAGGGCTTTTTTTGGCTGGCAAACAGAGCCTCTCCTTGCTCTGTGTAACCCTCTAGGGAGCTCTTGGACCAATTAAGATTTAATTTAAGGGACTGGTGGCCACTGAAAGCTTTTGTCCCTTTGGGGGATCATGAGTGCCTGGAGCGCCGGTGCTGATGGTGTGGTGCTTTGGTGGGGCGCTGCGGGGGCTGGCGCAGGAGGTTGTGGTGTCAGCCCCCTCCCTTCACTGCTGGGCTTCCCTGCTGGCTCTGTCCCTCTCAAACCTAACTGCTTAATTACCACCAGGAATGAGGCTTCTCCAGCATTTGGCAAGGCTGTGGCAACTGGGAGAGGGGCAGTTAATTAAGCAGCCTGTTGGTCTTTGCTTTTATTCTCCTCACAGGGATGTTAAAATCCTATGGGAAGGAGAGAGGGAAGGAATATAATTCACAGCCAGCAAATAAGTTAAAGAACAGCTCAGACTGGCCACCCAGCTGATGCGAGTATATTAAACACTCGCATCATGTCATCTTAGTGCCAGCAGTGGCCTAATCTTAACGGCTTCATTGGCGAGGCAGATCAGAGCTCCCACCACAGCATGGGAAGAGATTGTGTCTGATTATTTGCTGGGGGGGTCGGATCTGAATCGCTCCTGCTGGTGCTGTGTCTGTTCCTGCCTCCTTTGGGAGGGATAGTTTTTCTGTTCAGAATTGATGAGGGGAAAAGCTGGGAGGGGAGGAAAAGTTGCTGAGGGTTCCCATGATGGACAGAGGTCTGGGAGTCAGAAATACGGCATACAGCTTCAAGGAGGGAAGTTAAATGGATTTTTAGGAGCTGCTGGGAGGGGAGTGTGAAGAGGGAATGTTCTTCCGTTCTTGCTTTTAACCATAACCTTGTACTTAAAGCTTTAGTGTGTTTAGAATGAATGACTGGCCCGCTGCATCAGTTTGCTGCAAAATACATCACGGCATCATGATGAAGGTTTTGTAGGGTGGAGGAACTGAAGGGTGCTCTTTGCTTGGGAGGACAGTGGTGTGTGTTGTGGTATTGCTGGACAGTCTGGACTTGTCCCCAAGACTGGCCACCCTGCCTGGCTTGCAAGGCAAAGGCACATGTTGTGATGGAGGCTTCAGAGCCCTGTCCCGTTGTGGCTTAGCTCCGGGCTCCTTCCTCCCCTGCCCGCAGCCTCCAGAGCAGCTGGAGATGGGAAAGTGCCTCTGCCACAGCGGGGCTGTGCAGGGAGCAGAGGGACAGGAGACTGTGACTCACTGCCACCACGGGCATTGTCCCCTGGGATCCTGCTGTGATTAAGTACCACAATGGGTGGAGGGGAGGAAAGGGTGTGATGGAAGGTTGTTTTTTTTTTTAAATTTTTTTATTTTTCCCTCCCAAGAAGGTCGTTTGAGTCAGAGCTGACAAAAATCAGGAGGTTTAAAGAAACATGAATGACTGGCTTCCTGCCAGGGCCTGACATCTTCCTTGCGTGAAGGTGAACCCAGGCCAGCCCTTCCCAGAGATGTTTATGGATAGTTGGTGCTTTATGATAAACTTTGTGGAGAGGAATGCTTGCAGTCATGCAAGAGCAGGAGCTTCGTGCCAGTGCTTGCTTGAGGTTAATTGCTGCAGCGAGAAGGTGGCTGGATAGCATCCCCTTTCTCCCCCCGCCTCCATCCCCAGAGTCCCGGTGACACTAGAGAACAGTCAGAATTTCAAACCGAAGCTTTGCCGGGAGTTTTAATTTACACCCCAGAGGTATTTAATTCGGCGGTGCCACAGAGGGCATGCAGTCTCCCCTACACACTGGTCACCAGCAGAAACATCCAAGTCCGTTCACCTCTGCCAAGGAGGAGAGAAGAGAAATCTCGTCCTTTGCAGAGCTCCAGGCTGTTACTGCTTAAAATGCAGATCCCTTCAGGGTTAAAAAGAAGAAGAAGAAAAAAAAAGTTGCATTCATTGGTAACTCATGAAGATAGAAAGGAAATGAAAAGGATTGTGAGCTGAGCTCCTGGCCCAGTCTGAAGGTGTGTTTTGTAGTCACTGTAGGATGTGACTAGGCAAGGGAGTAGATCGATAGCTTACCAGGTGCCTTGAGAAGTACCTCTTGAATTTTCTACTAATTACAGTGGGATCTGCCACAGTTAGCATTTTTTTTTTTTCTGGCCTCTGTTGAACTGATTTACTTACGCTTGCCAAGCTCTTGTAGCTCCAAAGTAAAGGTGTTCGTTGGCACAGTATGCACTGGCTTCAGCCCTTGGCCAACAGGCTGCTATTCTTTCAGTGTGAAACTTCCCCCAAAAGGAGGTGGGTGTTTTTCCTGTGGTGGATTTCCAGGGCATAAACCTACTTCCTTTCCCTCCTGCACTGAAAACGTGGCCCCTCGGGATGGGCTTTGCACAACAGTCAGACGTGCAGGATGCTTGCAGGTCCTGTGAATGTGGCTGAATGCCTGACTTGCATGAACAAGTCAGTCCTTTTCGTGCAAACTTATTTGTTAATGAATGTTACATTGCTTCTCATCCTTGGTAGATCTGGGCTGGGTTCTGGAGGTGAAAATGCAACATGGCCTAATGCTAAAGAAACAGCACTGAACCAGAGCATA